ATGAGGTAGAGGGTTGTCATTATCATCATCAGCATTGTCATGATCATTATGAATCATCACCATCATGATCAAATTATACGGCCTGCATGACTGAATCGGCCGTTGAATTCAGTCCATCTGGCCTGCCATCACACCACCGTGTACGACAAAAACTTAAATAGTGTGTTGGTAGCGTACTCAGACCTTGGTCACCAAAATAATCCAGTCACCTCAAAACAATTTCAACGGGTTTTCATAGACTTTTTGTTTTTTGTTTTTTTGTCTGGGGGTTTTGGGGGAGGAGGGGGGGGAGGGGTTGTATTCATAGTACAGTATATTTGGAAGAAAAAAGTTATCCAGCCCGCGCTCAGCATTTCCTCAGTTATCTGGCTCACTTTTCAAATAATATACTGCTGATATTATTTTTGTGATTCATTTCGCGTCTTTGCCAGACTTTTTTGTTTTTTTCGTCTCCTGTTACTCAAACCTTTGCACTAACAACTCAGCCTAGCTTTTGTCATAATGCGGAATTCGCGAAAAAGTGCCTTTCCCAAAAGACACAACGTCGGACCGAGCTGAGGCTCGAATCTTCAAACCCGCAATCTCACGATTACCAGTCCGGTAGCCTAACGACGAGGGCACCAACGCCACTCGTATTTTACGCAACGGGTGCAGTTTACCTATCACAGTTGATATAAACGACCACGATTGTGACATTGACGATGTCGTTAGTATTACTCATGTTTGCTCTTGAAGAAGCTTTCTAGTGGAAACGTTGAGTCGTTTTAATCAACATTTTTTCCTATTTTGAATTTTTTTAAATTTTATATTTGCTGAATGAGAATCAATCAAGACTTTCCCTACCTACTCTGCCTTTTCAACAATGATGATGATGATGATGATGATGATGATGATGATGATGATGATGATGATGATGGTGGACAACGAAGGTTTAAATGTCACGTGGATCATGCACATTATACAGGTTACATTGACATCCACGTATTTGCTCAAATCTAATCATCTGCTCGTTTGCTTACACATGTACAGGGATGTCGCGTCACGTGGCTTTTCGTTCCCCAACAGCAAAAGTTACCTAAAACAACCTTTAGCCCCCCCCCATCCCCCACCCTGCCCCACCTGCCCTTCCTTATGCAGCATTCACCTGGACGTAAAAAATCTCCCCCGTGTAGATCTATAACCGGTGGATACACATCTCCACCGCAGTGCAGGAAAGACGGTCGGATCGCGAGGAGGTGGCGGTGAAGGATGAGGAAGGCGGTACGTCACTCACTCTCACCAAAAAGAAGAAGAAAAAGAATTAACCAAAAGCATTAAACTGCTCATACAGGCAGTGCTTGCTAGAAAAGAGAAGGTTTAAATCGGAACGTACTTTCGTGTGACGACGTCAAGTCTTCTTGTACTCTTGTGGAGATCTCGATGGCGAAATACACGTTTTGGTTAACATTTTTTGCCTTTCTGGCAATTGGCGTCTCCTTGAGTTTGGCATTCAGCGACGGGAAGCTCCTGGCAAGAGGTACTTCTGGTGTGAGAAGTGTATACTGCAACAGGTAAGAGAATATATATTTGTAATTGTGAGTCATCATCATCATTGCCTTTCTCACCCTGCATCGGGGTATAGGCAACGAACAAATACTTTCCACCTTTCTCTTCCCCGGCTTGCCTCTTGATGTTGTTCCTTGTCTTCCCACTTTTCTGTTCACCAGTTTCTGTGATTCTTCTCCATGTTCTATGCGGTCTACCCTTGATCTTTTACCCTGTGGATCCCAATCCCACACTTTCTTTGTTATACAGCTGCCTGGCTTCCTGAGAGTATGTCTAATCCATCGCCATCCCCTTCTTCATACCTCATCTTTGACTGGGATCTGTCTTGTTTTTCTTAACACGTCTTCGTTGGTGACCTTGTCTGTCCATATGATCCTCAGTAACTTTCTTAGACACTTGTTCAAGAAAACCTGTAACCTCTTTATGTCTCACATCGATACACCATCGTTATTATAAGTAGTTGTAAGGAATGTTACGCCCCCATCAGTGCAGTATAGACCTTTTCGAAAGGAGGGTTGGAGGTTATTTTTGTGGCTGTCGCTCCTGGGGAACGGAAAGCCGCGCCACGAGACATCCCTGGTACATCTACAAGCCTAGGGGACCCTGCCTGTCAGGGCTAACCCAAGTGTCACCACATTTCCAAGTTGAAATTAGACCTCCTTGACTAATGCATACTAATAATCGTGCTTCTGTCACTTGTCCACCAGTCTTTCCAGTTAAGTCCAGTCATTAAGACCCATTTGCCTATTGTTTATATGTGCAGTTGAACTGCTTTGGTTTGATTCTGGCTTATTGTTTTTATTACAGTTTTTTCGCCCCCATCGACTCAATTTAGATCAAATAGGAAGCGGTCTTTAACCCTGCCTGTCAGAGCCGAGCCAGGCTGAGACGATCGAATACAACCTCAAGCATTAAGACCAAGACACGTACTCAATACAAATTCTCCCCTCACGGGAAATGAAGTCGGGTTTTCTGCGCGCGAAAGCGAAGAACCTAAACATTATATCACATACGCAGGTGTTATTAGCTAGTAAAAAGCCACCCCCCCCAAAAAAAAAAAAAGAACAAAAGACAATGTAAAATAAACAAAGCACAACGACAACAACTAAACAAAACGAATCTTTAAAAATCTCCCAAATGTTATAAAAACATGTTTTTCCAGGCCTGCCTTTAAACGCCAACCTCTGCACTTCGACTCTGCCTGCAAGGGTTTATGCCGGCCCAAACTGGACAATGACAATCAGTTCTTTTCTCTGATCGTCAACGCCAGCACGTACTGGCTGGACAGCGTGGTTGGTGAGTACTGATTGTAGAGCTTTAGCTGACTGATGGTGAGCATATTAGTCTTGCTACTGCAGCTGCTGGTAGTGGTGGTGGTGCTGTTGCTGCTGCTACATTTGCTACTGCTTATTATTGTTATGATGATGATGATGATGATGATGATGATGATGATGATGATGATGATGATGATGATGATGATGATGATGATGATGATGATACACTACTACCACTCTCAAAATCTGGATTCAATAATCAGAGACACTCAGTTTAGAGAACATATTATTCAAATATGACCTCGATTTCAACAGTCTATGCCACAATGGAACCAGTAGTCACTGAGATTGATAGACACCGAACTGAAGAGACTTAAACCTCGGAGAATTCACGGGGATTAATGGGAACGAGGCTCCTGTCGAGTGCTTAAAGAAAGTGTGCTCTCTGTTACTGTAATTGCAGGTGTTTTACGCCCAATATGACACAATTTAGATAATCTAGCAGGCAAGATAATTCATTCGATCCTGCCTCTCACGTGAGGGCCTACTCGAGGTAAATGTAATGCGTCGTCCTAGAAGAAGGGCGACGATACTCGATGTACATTTTCCCTACTCTTCTGCGTGCAATTTCGAAGTGTCTAATCGTTGTACCACAGACGGCTATGTGCATTTTACTGTTGTTATTTCATATTTAGTAAGACTGCTCGCTATTCTCTGGTATACTGAGAGCGAAGCTTTCACTTAAAAAGAATGCGACCCACTGCACATTTTCATAGCTTTACTTTATACATTCGATAAGTATGCAGTAGAATCTACTCAATTTCCTTATTAAGTACTCCTGAATATTTTGGTTTTGTTTTGGTTTCGTATTATTTGTAGTATAAACTAAATATACAAATATACAACTTGTAGTGAGATGCTATAACTCTTTATTTGATCAAAAGACAAGCTTGTTGATGCTCGAGTGATGCTTGAATAGAAAACCATGTCAATTTACCAAGACAATTGTCATACAATGACAGAGTTCATCATAGATCTGCTTTGAATAAGCGAACACACACACACACACACACACACACACACACACACACACACACACATACATACACACATTAAGACACTCACACACATGCATGCATACACAGACAAATACGGACACAGACACAGACACACACAGACACACACAGACACAGACACACAGACACACACATAGAGTGAGTGGGCGAGCGAACGAGAGAGAGAGAGAGAGAGAGAGAGAACCACTAGAACACCCACGTTACATTCATAAGTACAAACAACATAATTTCATTGTTCTGATGTTCCCAGTGGAAATCAAAGCAACCCCCCAATCTGGGCTTTCGGTGACCGGTTTCTCAGCCTACGCCGTCGACCAACACGGGGAAGTGGCCGGAAGCTTTGAGGAGAACGAGCCCCACGTCATAGTGGGTACATGCAGTGAGGTTGTCACTTACTCCTCGGAGACCCATGGCGCATTTCACTGGAAGGCAGACAAGAACCGAAAGTCTGTCCTCCTAAAATGGCTCCCTGATGGATACAATCATGGACCAGTGAGAATTATGTAGGTGGTTGATTTGTCGACTGTCTGTTAACTTAAGAAATGAAGATTTAATCTTGTGCTTGTGGGTTTTTGTGTTGGGTGTTGTCATTTCTGGGGAATATTATTCAATTTAACACATTTGTCAAAATCACAACTCTTCCTGTGGACTGAACTCCTAACTTTCCTTGGTTCGTCTTCCTGCTCCGTTGGGTATGAAGTTGTGTCGTGCAGAAACGTTCTTTACTTGTATTCTTAATTTCATTTCCTTTAGCTCCAATTCTGTGCTTGACATTCTCGGATACTAGAATATGTTAAAAATATAACCATTGAACCCCCTTGAGCAGCTTCTCCGCTGTATGTCCTCAAGCAGTGTCATGGCTTCAGTGGTCTAGTGTGTGGTTATGCTACTCGAAATCGTGAGGTTGCTCAGTTCGGCCCGACGTTATTTCCACGGAAGGCTCTTAGATGGCGAAAGATATTGTCAATTTGTTAATGTTCAAGCTCTTAATCAGCTGCTTACACAGTATGCTTCCCGGGAAGCAGGAAATGTATCTGAGTGTTCTGAGGTCTGTTGAGGTAATAATAAAGCTGTAGCTGTAAAGCGCATAGCGCATGCTGTAAAGAGGGGATATGCTCTGTATTATATAATAAAGCGGAAAGTCCGGGTTCGAGCCTCGGTTCGGAAACGGATTTTTTCGCCCCCTCTTGCCCACTTAGCAGTAATGGGTACCTGACTTCGAGTTGGGGAAGTAAAGGCGGCGCGGAAAGGAACTGGCCACCCTACCAAAAGGCAATCCTCCATGTCCGGATCGGACGCAGAAACAACTTTACTTTAATGGATACAAGACTATTCAAGAGTATACCACTCTAGTTCTGATTTCCAAAGCCCCTGACTGTGTACTTTTGCTTGTTTATCTTTTCCCATATTATTATGTATCTGCCTTGGTCCGTCTTTCCCCTGGATTTATGATGCAGTACTGACCAACTTTTATTTGTAGGATAGGCCTTTTTTTCTATCCAAGATAGGCCTATTGTTTTATTTTAGGTTTAGCCTCTTTAGGACAGGACTATTTCTCTCTCTTAGGTTTAATTGAAAGAAATATATCACGTCAACACACTTTCTTGAACATCTCTCTAAAATGTTTTATGCAAATTATCATTAGGAACAATAGAATTACACGCAGATGCTCACAAACGTATATTTGATTCATCCACGCACTTACCAAGGACAGATTAAAAATAAAATAAAGCAGCTAATACGGTTGTTTGTATTTTCATTTCAGCGCATGGGTGGTTCACAATCATTCAGAAGTGTATTTCCTTGAATCGCAACCCCTGGAGTGCAGTAGAAATGGTAAGCCCAGTGTGTACTTCGCGCTGTATACAAAATCTTTTTCGCTTTCTCGATTGAAAAGTCGTTTTTTTCGAAATCAAAATTTTGCACTGTGCTATTATGACAAAAATTGTTTTGGCTTACAACTGTCTTCGTCTTTCGTACACAAGGCTAGATATTTTGAATATGTCCTTGAGATTTTTAATGACTTTTGTTCAAACATTTGCTCTTTGCGTCATCTTATTAATCCTTTCGAAAGATTTTCGAATGGTGTTGATGACAAAAGCTAACTCACGCAGAAAGATTATTTATCTCTTGATGAGACGGATGTGTGTTTCTGTTTGAAATCATAATCCCTCTATCTCTTTTTCTTTCCCTTTCAGCCTCTCCCCCTTTCTCTCAGTCTCCCCTCTTTCATCTACTCTCTGTTTTAACTTTAGAGATTCTGAAACTGATGCTAAGGAAAATACGGTCCTGAAAATAACTTAGTATTTCATACTTTAAATACACATTTTAAGACTCAATCTCTATTTTTGCACCTCAGGTTCTTTCACCCTGAACCTGGCAAATGTGCTGGAAGACGTTTCCAACGAGATCGACCTGGAACTTTTCGAAAAATCTTTCTGGTACCGAAACAACAGAGGCTACCAGCTTCAGCAAGAAGACCCCTTCGACAGCTTCAACATCCCTCCGTCAACGGGTGCTCTCGTGCCCGCAGCGAAGGCAAACAATCTCAGAAAAGAGTTTCCACCTCTGAAAAATCATGGTGACATGAGGCCGAACGACTTCGTTAACCTCCAAAATGAGGTCACGTCTGCAATTTCCGAGGGAGTTTCTTTGGATTCTGGAGAAAGCGATGTGAATGTAGTTCCTAACGAGGAGATTTCGAAGGATAGGAATGGAAGTTCCATAGTTCAACAGATAGTGGAGAACAGCTCTGCGCTTCTTTCTTCGTCCGCGACTCCTCATGGAGCAGAAGGCCAAACCGAACAAACAAACAGTTCGAGCGGAAATTCAAATACCGGTGAAAATGGAGGAGGAGAGTTGTTAACGGGAAGTTCGATAGCAAGCTCAATCAGTAGCGTTGACAGTAATAATAATAATACTACTACTACTGTATCCGAGAGCGACATAGGGAAGAACGCGAGTGAAGTGGATGGTTTTGAGAAAAGTACGAACGACACAAGAGGAAGTGATACCCTTGTTTCTCACGCGGACATACCAAAGCCACATGAAAGTAACAACAATAACACCGAGACCTCTGCGACTTCTGTTTCCGGAGGAAATACGGCGTCTTTATCATCTGGAGATGACGTAAGCAGACAGTTACATCTTGGTGTCTCGGCGGAAAATGTTGGAAACCTTCCCAGTGACAACATGATTATTGAGGATAAAAGTATCAAGAATTCAGACGCAAACTTGAACGATAATTATTTCCCGAGTTCTGACGAACTCATGGATAATTTCCCGGTTATGGAAGGTCTTTTTCGATGAAAATTGTATTGTTTTGAAAAATACTAGTAGAAGAGGATGTACTTATATAATATTATTGTTTTTCAATTACGTTTTTTATTCTCGTATGTGGCATATTATGTGTTGTTTCTCAGCAAGCATCCGAAAGTTCTTGCGTGGAGCGATGCTGCTCCCCAAGCAAACAAACAAGCAAACAAACAAACAAACAAATCAACAAACAAACAAGCAAACAAACAAACAAACAAATCAACAAACAAACAAGCAAACAAACAAACAGACAACAACAAACTAACAAACAAACAAATAAACTAATTAACAACAACAACAACAACAACAACAACAACAACAAC